GATGGACAGATGGAAAGATGGACAGACGACAGATAGATGGACAGATGGATGGACGGACAGATGGAAGGATGGACAGATGGATGGATGGACGGATGGACAGATGGATGGACAGATAGAAGGATGGATGAATGGACAGATGGAAAGATGGATGGACAAACGACAGATAGATGGACAGATGGAAGGATGGATGGACAGATAGATGATGGACAGATGGATGGACAGACTGATGGACGATGGATGAATGGATTGATGGACAGATGGACAGACAGAAGGACGGACGGAAAATGGACAGATGGATGGATGGATGGACAGACGGACAGATGGAAAGATGGATGGACAGATGGAAAGATGGATGAATGGATGGACGAATGGATGGATTGACGGATGGATGGATGGAAAGACAGATGGACAGATAGAAGGATGGATGGATGGATGGACGGACGGTTGGACAGATGAACAAAACAGACAACAATCCACACGATGGAGTGTTACTCAGCCTTAAACAGGGAGGACGTGCTGATACCTGCCACCACCTGGGTGAACCCTGAGGACACTGGGCTCAGTGACATGAGCCAGCCACAAAGGGGCAACACTGGATGGTCCCACTTCCGTGAGTCCCCAGAGGAGTCAGATCATAGAGACAGAAAGGGGATGGTGGGTGTCGGGGGGCTGGGGACGGGGAGAGATGGGGAGCTGGTGTTTCTTGGGGGCAGTTCGGGAAGATGAACAAGTTCTGGAGGTGGAGGGTGAATGAATTCACAATCAACATTGTGAATGTGCCTGATGCCACTGAACTGCCCACTTAAAATGGTTACAATGGTACATTTTATGTGTATTTTACCACGATAAAAAAATTGGACATAGGGTCTTTAAAGCAATTATTAGAGTAAAATGAGGTCCCTGGGGTGGGCACTAATCCAATGTGACTGGTGTCCTCATAAGAAAAGATTAGGACACAGACACACACAGAGGGACGACCACATAAGGACACAGGAGAGGCCTCAGAGGGAACCCACCCACCCACACCTGGCCCTCAGACTCCCAGCCTCCAGGGCTCTGAGAGAATCAATGTTCCCTGGGCCGTGGTCATTGTTTCAGCAGCCCTAGAAAACTCATATACAGATTAAAGAAGAAACATCATATGACCATCTCAACAGAAGAATAAAAATAATAAAGTTAACATCTACTCATAATTTTGCGTAATTAGTAAACTAGGAATTAAATTGAACTTTGCTTGAAAATCGCCGGGTCCTCTCCAGCACTCCACGCACCTGCTCCGGCTGCTCCAGAGGGACGATGTGAGCCGCAGGACAAGCCTGCCCTCCGCTGCAGCCTGTGCTGGGCCCAGCAACCCCCAGGTCACCCGGTGATGGGCCCTGTCAGTAGCAGACCTGGCCATCCGGGGTGTGGGGTCAGGAATATCGTTGTGAGCACAACGGGGATCTCGGCTCCACCGGGGAGGAGGCCGGCCCGTCAGACCACCGTGGGCGGCCCAGACCTCACCCAGAGACCCAGGATCAGGGGGACACAATTGGAGTGACGACAAGGGCCTGCAGTCCTCTCGTGAATGTCCTTGACCGGGTGGCAGTCACCTGGTCAGAAACCATAGAACATGCTACATGCTACATGCATATGCGTACGTGTGCGGCCACGTGGGCAGAGCGGCACGTGCACGTGGACCCACGCGTGGGCATGCACATGCGTGTGCTTGCACACGTGCACACACAGGGATGCACACACACGTGCGCCTCACTGCATCCCAAACAATCAAACGTCTACAGGACTCACCATTTAAACCAATACAACAACATAAAAATTAATCAAAGGATCTAAAAGAGAAGCCAAATGATTTGGAAATTCAAAAGTGCTCGCCTAAATAACTCCTAGGTCAGAGAGCAAATAAAAGTCGCCAGGACAGGAGATTTACAACCGTCCAGAAAAGGGAGACTGCATGTCCACGGAGCCAGCTTCGGGAGGGGCTGGTGGGCAATTCACAACCTTAAATGCTTTTATAACTGAGCAAGAGAGACTGATAATAAATGCACTAAACATTCGACACGAGGAGGGAAAACAGAACAATAAAGTAAATCCACGGGAGCAGGAGGGGTAAAGATAAAGGTGAATTAATGAATTGGAAACAAGAAAAATGGAAGAACTCATCAGTAAATCCAAGAGCCGGTCCTCAAAATAAACAAAATAAAGCAACCTCTGGCCAGGGAGCGAGAGAAGCGGGGCCATGAGGGCCGTGCACAAGGAGTGGGAGCCGCGGAGACGCAGTGACGAGCTAACACATCGGACCTTCTTGATGAAATGGGCCATTTTCTAGGACAATATAAATTAACAAAAGTAACTTAACGAGGCTTAAAGGAGCTATATCTGCAACTGCAGAAAAACAGAAAAAGCACGTGACTGGACATCGGGTGACGGGGACGGGCTTCCTGTCCGACGTGACACCAGGGCCAAAGTCGGGAGGGCTGGCGCAGCCGGGGGGCCGAGGTCAGGGGCGCACGGAGAGGGAGTGAGGGGCTTGGCTCGCCGGGCTGCCGCCCCTGTGAGGGAACCAGGGCCCCCTCCCCGGCTGTCCGGAGGGCAGGGACGAAGGCTGCGAGAGCCTGACCCTGCTTGCCCATGACCTTGACCTTGGGGTGCAGTGGGAGCACCCTGAGCTTCTTCAAGCACACGGGACCCTGTGTGGGCAGCAGGAGAGCAGGCGGGAAGGGTGGCCTCGGGGCCTACTGCCCAGGTGGGCCCAGCTGAGGCTCCCAATGGCCCTGAGGGCTCCGGCCCCGGCCCCCCAGTCCCCTCCACACCACCTAGAAGGGCGGGCAGGGGAGCAGGGAGAGGAGGCTCTTGGAGACCCGCCCCGGGGGCTTGTCCACAACCGTGGCCACAGCGGTCAGTGGATGGCCATCAGCAGCCCGTGTCCGATTTCATGTCAGGATCACACTTGGGTATTTTGCAGCACTTGTCTCCAAAGCCAGCCGGCGCTGGCCTTCCATACGGGAAGGTGTTGATCCACAGCTTCTCTTCACACTACGCTTCCCGGGACCAGCCCTGGCGTCTCTCTTCCCCGCTGGGTGGTTGGCGCTATTTCTCCAGGAACATGTTCATTGCTTCCAAGTCGCTCGGACCAGCCACCCTCTCTACACGGCCTGCACGGCCCCTCCGCGTTCCGAAGACAACCTACTCGCCCCCTGGCCCTTCTCGGTAGGGCTCCCGACCCGTCCCTTCTGGCAAAGTGCCTGCTCTTAGGATTGCGCTCCCTCTTTTCCCTTCGGCTTTGCTCTTTCATTCCCCACATTCAGGGGACAGCAAATGACAGTGTGGGGATGAAATCGGGGGCGGCGGGGGGAGACACCACCTGCGCTCTCAAAATCCAAAATATTTACTTCCTTTCAAGGGCATTTGCTGACCTCTGCCTCATTCTTAAATCGGAAGCTAGGCTGGCTGATTTCCCACTCCTATTTCTTCTAATATAATCACGTAGGGCTATAGATGTCCTTCTTCCTACAACCTAAGATATATTTGACAAGTTTTGATATGTACCGTTTTCAGGATCATTCGGTTTGAAGTATTGTCTAACTTGGATGATTTCTTCTTTGGCCAATGAGTTAGGTAAAGTGCATTTTTAAATTTCCCAAACACACAAGGTTTTGTTTGCTATCTTTTTGTTATCAGGGTGTGGCCAGAAAATATGGTGTGGGTGATACCAACGACACCGAGGCCCCTTCCCTCCCCCCACCCGTTACTGCCCCGCAGCCCACGGCCGGGCTCTGCTCACACGGGGACCTCGCCCCCACCCCACCCCCGCCCCAGCGGATCCACAGGTCAGCCCCGGAGCGAAGCTCTGAGTGGGGGCACTGGCTCTATGCAGGTAAGTACACAGAGTCCATCTCCCGAAATTCAACCCAAAACACAACCTCCCAGTTGTGCTGGAAATCCAATGCAGGGATCCCGGGACCCAAGTCATGTGCCCACCAAGGGCCTGCCTGTGGGTCCCGGAGGCTCTCTGACCAGGTGGTGGCTCTGGGGACACTGGTGATGCCCGTGGGCACCAGCTTGACCCCCAAAGGCCCCTCTCAGAAACTGCCAAAGCCTTCTTTGCACTGCAGGTGGCCCGCAGGCTCGGGTCCCGCGCCAGACCCACACGTGGCCAGACGTCTGCCAGCCCCGGGAGGCCGCTGAGGACTGAAGGACCGAAGGGCTTCGCGTCCCAGGGGAAACGGCTCTGCCGCACCTGGATCATCTATCTCTCCTCTTCGGGTTAAAGCCGGACAGCTCCAAACAGCCCCCCTACCCCATCCAGGCAACACCCCGGAGGGGCCCAGACACCAGTATTTTCTAAACTGCCCATGGTTGAGACCACTAACTGGCCAGGCGGACTGTTCTAGAACAAACTCTGTCTCTGACGTCTGACTCTGGCCACAGCACGTCTGCTGAGACGCAGGGCGCCTGCTCCCTCAGGAGGCCCGCCAGCGAGTGAACAAGATGAACTGGGCACCTCTGGAGTCTCAGGGACCCTCGGACTACAGCCTAGAGCAGGAGGAAAAAAGTTCCTCAACGGTCACTGGAGAAGCCATGATGGCCACTTCCGACTCCCAGGAATGCACGTCAGCCACGCGGCAGGAGGTCAGTGCAGGGTGGGCCTGAGGGATCGGCGGTGGGCCGTAGGACCCCCATCCTGCAGGGAAGGGGCCAGCGGGCAGGCCCAAGAAAGCCCGGTGTCCTACAGACCGGCACCTCCTGTCTACGTCCGCACCAGGGACGGCGGTCCCCGTGCATGGCTGTGAGCTTGGAAAATGTTCTCGGCAGGGGGGAGATCAAGAAAATTTCTCTGAAGGTTATCGCTGTTTTCCTTCACTACCACAAACTGCGCCCTCCTACCCAAAGCTCCCGAGGTCAGAGTCTCAGGGAGAAATCCCCCATGTCATTAAATGAAAACCCTGTGCGCACGAGACCCACAGGCCCGAGGCCCAATTGCTTTCAGCCAGAAACAAACACGGGGAAGCAAACGCCTTTTATTGAGGTCAGACCAGGTGCCGCCAGGACCAGCATCCCAGAGCTCCTGAGCACAGGTACCCACCGCCTGGCGCTCCGAAGGAGACGGGCAGCGGCAGGCCGGCTGCTCAGCACTCACGGACCCCCGCGCCCTGCACAGCAGGGGTTTCAGAAAAGGAACACACACCTGCGGTGGGATTGGCCCGCAGGCTCCCGTTCCGTAGAACGCCCTTCCGAAAATTCGTTCAAAATACAGCAGCTTTCTCCAGAACTGTAAAAGCCACAAAAATCCAAAACACTTCTTTAGGAAAGATTGGATCAAAATTACACCTGATGTTCAAAGTTCTGCGTAGCCCAGCTCCTGTCCGTGCGCCGGGAAGAAACTGGGGGCAGGGGCCCCGGGCCCCCGACCCCCTGCTGGGGGTCAGTTGCTCTCGATCTGCCCCAGGTCCAGCTCGCCGCGGCCGGGAGGGAAGGCCCCCTCCTCCCCAGCGCTCTCCCAGTCACTGGGGTCGCTGCCACTCCCGCCCTCACCCTCAGCGGCCATGGGCTCCCAGGAGGCCCACGGGCCGGGGCCGGTGCGGCAGGGTCTGGGGCACATGCTCAGCGGGCTGGAGCCGGGCGTGACGGTGCCCGTGGGGCCGTGTGGGGCATACGGGGCCAGCTTCACTTGGGTGTCATCCTCCTCTTCGTCTTCATAATCAAGGGAACAAAGGCTTTTTGAATTTTTTAAAGTCTGAAACAGAAAAGATACGAGCTTAAAGCATGTCCACGGGGTTACACGGGAGGCAGCGTCCCACTGACCCAGGAGTGGATCCCCAAATTCACATATAGCGTCTGGTCCCTGTGCATCAGCCACACACCACACTCAGGCCCGCCCTGCATGGCAGGCCTCCGGTGGCTGACCGGGCATGCTGCCCACTGAGACCCGACTCCCTGGATGGGCTGGCGCTGCCTCTTTCTGCCCCCTGCCCCCAGCCAAATCTCTGCCGGGCTGTTAAAGATGGAGGCTGCCGGGCTCTCCCCCAACTGCAGACAGAGCCGTCCACTCAGGTGGCACCTCTCCTTGGCGATCCCACCAGGGCCCTAAGACCCGGCAGGCCACCCCAGCCCTGGCGCTGGGAGCATGTACCGGCCTCCCCCCTCCACCCCTGGCCACAGCCCACCTCCAGACCACACACGACAGCAGCCCCCTTGGCCCGGCCAGGGCCCTGTCTCCCTGACACCAGCCCCCAGCCCTCGCCCTAAACTCCTGGCCCGGCATCTTGGGGCAGCACGTGCGTGTGGTCCACTGCGTGCCTACCCCGCTGCCAGAGCGGCCTCCCAAGCTGGCCCCACGTGACTCCACCTGCCCCAATGTGACCTCAGCGACTCTGGGGTCAGCCTCCTCTCTGGGGCCACACCCAGGCTGCCCCACACAGGTGTCAGCACGTGGTTCGGGGCCGCCAAGGAGCATCTGTGCACACGGAGTGGGGCGAAGCGAGCCCGGACCGGCCGCGGGGACACAGCCGCTCCTGCACTCTGACCTGGGCCTCTGGCACCTACATCTGAGGGCTCAGAACACGAGCTGAGCAACTGAAACCCAACCGAAACCCAAACCTTCCAGAGCCAGGACGTGCCTCAGAACGACCACCTCTTTGGCTAGAAAATTTCCTAGAAACAGTCCCACAGTGAATTCAAGTAAATAAACACTTCCCCCTTTCAAATCAGCACTTTTAAGGAAATTATTTGGCTCTATACAACAAACAACCTGACTTTTCTTGTTGTTCTATAATAATTAAGCCACTGAAAAATAAAATTTAATGATTCAACCTTTAAAGATACAACCGGTCACAAAGTTTGGTCACAGAATGAGGACCCATGAAATAACTTCTTTATTCAAATCAAGGTGGATGTGACAGTGGCGGTCACTTCTTGAGGACCTGGACTGTCTCCGCAGGGCCCCTCGCCTGGCCCCCCGGCCGCCTGGTCTCGCTCCGCCCCTGCGCTGGTCCACGTGTGGACGGCGCTGACCCCACGGCACACACGCGAGCTAGCAGTGGCCGGACAGGTGGCGGGAGGACCTCCGCAGAGAGGTCCTCTGTCGCCGGGCCACGAGCCCATCTATGGGCCGCAGCTGGAAAACGCAGGCTCTGCACAAGTCCACTCAGGCCGCCCGGGAGACGTGGCGGCCGCTCAACGAAACCACACACACAGAGCTGTGACCTGCACTCTGAGCATCAGCCACGTGGCCCCAAAAGGGGTGTCGCCCGCCACCTCGGTCAGGGGTGAGCCACCACACAATGCTGGGGATGACAGGAAGCCAGGCTGTGAGGCCCACTCGGAGTGGCCCGGGCCACGCTGCCACGCGTGACCCTCTCCCCGGACAGTCCTGCCGCTGCTGCCGTCACTCTGGTTTCAGGTCACCTGCATCAAAGCACATGAATGCAAAATATCTTCTTTCAAATATCGAAGGTCAAGACTCAGAGTCCTAAATCAGGGGCTCTAGATGTTACAAGGTCCTTCAACTTGTGTGCCATCTGGGGGGACGCTGCAGCCCCAGAGCCAGGCCCTGGCCTCCTGCGGGGTACGAGCAGGCGCCCCGTGCCTCCACCACCCCAAGCCAACGTACCAGCTCCAGCTAAGCAGATGAGACTGAAGGGAAACTAAAAACGTGCCTGTGAACCACCCCAAATTCCCTTCAGCGGCCATCCGGGGCCCGGCCACCACGTGTGCACTGGCTGAGGCATCAGGCCATCTCCCAACCACAGCACACCGATCTGCGCTCCTGGAGAGCACAGCCCCAGCCTCGTGTGGGAGCTCATAGCGTCTCTGCTCAGCCAGATCACACCCTGCCCACGGGGGCCCACGGGGGCCCACGGGGGCCCGGCCGTCCCGAAGGCCAGGGCTCAGCAGGAGACCAGGGAGGCCCCCCACTGCCTGCAGGCGCCTGAAGCCCAGCACCCACGAGCGCTTGTCCAACCAGGGCTCTGGCTGTGGAGAGAAATACAGACGCCCCAGAAGCCCCATGGGGCCCACGTGGCAAACCCGAGTGCCGTCCTCAGCCAGCTGAGGGAGAGGCCTGCAGGGCGTGGAATGTCCACACCACACGTGGGGTGTGCACAAGCAGGTGTGTGTGTGTGTGCAGGGGTGCTGAGCGTGTCAGAGTGTGTGGGTGAGGGAGCTGTAATAAGGAAGCCGGCTGAGAAACAACAGGATCCCTAGACCGACCCCCTCCCCCACTTCTGGGCAAGCGCCCCTCCCAACCTTCACAAGAGTAGGGGTGATTCGGGACAGCTGGAGGGTCTCAGCCTGGGGAAGGGGACAACACGTGCAAACAGAGGCCAAGCGAACATCTGCACCCTGAGCACAGAGCCCCGGCCCTGAGTCAGCTCCCAGCCTGCCCAGGCGGGGACTGGATGTGTTCTCCATGGAACCTGACCCCAAAGCAAACTCAGAGAGATGGGGACATGGGGGCTCCCAGCACGCAGAAGACCCAGGTAGACCCAGCCCCCCCAGAAAGCTCAGGCCAAAGGGCCACACCCACAAGACAGAGCCCTCGGGCCCAAAACCCGGCCAACATGAAGTGTCACAGAACGCCCGTGGCCTCTAACAGGGAAGACAGGTGAGGCTGGAACCAGGGAGGACACAGTCTGGAGGAGCAAGCAGCGCAGGGGCAAGAAACACCCCCAAACCCAAGTCCACTACCAACGTCCCCGGAGAGAGGGCTCCAGCCCTGAAGTGGGGCAAGGAGGAAATCCCAGGCCCAGGAGGAGGCCCAATTTCGGGATGGCTGGAGTCACAGAGGCCACGGGCACTGGGGCGGCGAGGGCCGGGGAATGTGCACGCACTACCTGACCCCCCACCCCGTAATCCAGGAAACCACCTGACAGAGCCCCACACTCGGCACCATTGGCAAAACAGACACACCGGGTCTGTCACCCAGAAACCCCAGAGCGCGCGGGGCAGAGAGGAAGCGAGTCCGAGCCAAGCCACCTGTCTCGCGGCAACGCTGGGCCGGAAGGCAACCAGCAGCACCTCCAGAGCCTGAAGGAAGCTGGTCCCACGGACAGCGGAATACAAACGCTTTCGGACTCACGAGGTCTCCCCCGCTGCTCCACTAAATGAGACCGTGGCAAGGAGAGGCGCCAGCCATGTGTCGAGAGGGCTGGTGAGGAGCCGGACGACCCACACGCCCGGACACCGTGGCCTGCGTGTAAAGCCCAGGGCGTGCCCTCCGCCCACGCCCCATACGCCACCACTCACAGAGCCCCTGCTGGGCCGCCTGGGGCCTCTGGGACGCTCCTGTCATCATTCCAAGATCTGTGCTGAGCCCACAGGAGAAAGCTGCAGTGGGCCCGACAGGCACCCACTCCCACAGTCCTTCCCCTACCTCATGCCCAGGAGCTGCCATACTCCCGGTGCCCCAGCCATCCAGACCCTGCGTGTCCCACACCATGCCTGAACTGGTGCCCATACCTGACCGTAGCATCTGCTCTGGACCCTAGTGCCCACACCTGAGCCCAGCATCTACATCTGACCCTTAACACCGCTGCCCACACCTGACACCTGACCCTGGTGCCCACACCTGACACCTGACCCCGGTGCCCACACCTGACACCTGACCCCGGTGCCCACACCGGACACCCCACCCCAGCACCCACACCTAACCCCAGCGCCCACGCCTGACCCCAGCGCCCACGCCTAACACCCCACCCAGAGCCCACACCTGACACCTGAACCCAGCGCCCACACCTAAAACCTGAACCCAGTGCCCACACCCGACCCCAGCACCCACACCCGACCCCAAGCGCCCACACCAGACCCCAGTGCCCACACCTGACATCTGACCCCAGCACCCACACCTGACACCTGACCCCAGCGTGCATACCCGACCCCAAGCGCCCACACCTGACCCCAGTGCCCACACCTAAAACCCGACCTCAGCACCCACACCTGACACCCGACCCCAGCGCCCACACCCGACCCCAGTG